GTTCCTGGGTTTGGTTGACCATTGCTGGGCTGGACTATCAGTAATAACATCCAATATTCCAACAAAGGTGTCAAAACTCAAAACCAAATCCATTGCTGTGGAGTTGAATTTTGACTCGTACTGACTTTATAGAGCAGAGAAATGCTCTACAGGGTTTCCAAGCCTATAAATCTCTACAGAAGCCGACAGCTTCCCTATGATAATTCACAACTATCTGATCTGCAACTGATAATGGGGTTGATGCAGGACTGGGCAGTGTTTCATTCCAGCGTGCACAGGGTTACCAGAAGTCAGCGGCCAACTCCACAGCAGCTAACAGCATGTCTTAACATAGAGGAGGATGCAAGAAAGACAGGAGGGGGCAAAGAGGATCTCTTGTTGTTGGTAGGTGCTGTTGGGTCGGTTCTGACCGTATGCAAAACAGAGTGAAACACTTTCCGGTACTGCACCATCCTCACAATTGTTGTTACACCTGGGCCTTGATGGAGATGAGCAAAACACAGAGACCACTTTTGCTTAGGGTCCATGATCATGATTACCTCATATGTTTTGAATCATTTCAAGAAATAATCTGACCCTGTGGAGACTCCAGTAGACCTATCCATTGCTTGTGTAAACTCAACTAAAATATGTTAAACTTACACTCAGTAACTATTAAACTGAGGACATTACATAGCAGGTTGGTAAGTATTTTCAATGGAACCATTTAAAATTGCACATTGATATGGCAATATCCTACTAATATACTGTCACCAGCATGTTTTTTTCAGATGATTAATGCTCCTGAAGCCTGTGTACATTTGCTGGTGTACAGTAGGCATGGAGACAGGAAATTACATTGGGGGCTAGTTTTCTTCAGGGAAGCAGTTGTGCTGTAGTTGGAGTTTTGGACTTGGGAGCAGGAAGAGCCTGGTTTGAAGGCTTGGCCTCTCTTCTCACGCCCTCCTAGTTGTTATAAAGTAGAAATGACTCACAGGCCCATGTGTGTCAGAGTAGAAGTGTGTTCCATAGAGTCTTCAATGGCTGTTTTATTTTCAGAAGCAAATCACCAGGGCTCGCTTCCACAGTGCTTCTAGGTAGACTTGAATCTCCAACTTTTGGTGAGCAGCTGACTGCTTAGCCTTTGTACCACCCACCCAATGACTCCACTTACTACGTAACACGGTGCTTTTCAAAATGTTGAAGGTAAAAAATCCAGTTTTGTTAGTTTACTGATTAATCTAAAATTTCTTCATTATTTTTTAAAAATAGATTTGTTCTTCATGACTGAGACTCTACACAACAAGAATTCAAGTTCTATATAATACCAATTCAAGTTTCTACATGGACAACTCAGTGACATGGATTACAGCCTTCAAGTTGTGCATCCTTCTCAGGCTTAACTGTCAATCCATTACAAACAGACGCTTTTGTAAACTAATCAAAACATGCGGGGTCCTGGTGTGGCGCTGTAGGATAAGCACTGGACTGCACGGTTGGTTTGAATCACAAGGTTGGCAGTTTAAATCACCAGCTGCTCCTCAGAAACCCTATACAGGATCGCTATGAGTTGGAACCAGCTCAATGGAAGCACTTAACAACAACTTTAACTATATATATATATATAGGAACCCTCGTTTTTACAACTGGATCACCAGACATAAAATTATTCTGCCAAAATGCTAGCAAAGTTTCTGAGAGCTTGCTTTCAATCTCTTTACTTTTGTGGCTACATTGGTGTGGGAGTGGGTGCAGGATTGTAAGTAATTTGTGAACTACTCCTTGAGTAGGCGGGAGCTAACATAACATTCCTTTGTTTTTTTATTTAAGCAGTTCCCCAGTTGGTATGAGGATGAAATAAGAGGATGCAATAAGGGGCATTAAAAAGTTCATGGAAAAATTCTGAAAAAAAAATTCTTCTTTCTGAAGCCCCCTCAGATATCAAGGTGTGCTGTTGTTGTTGCTAAGCGCTGTCGAGTCAGTTCCGACCCACAGTGACCCTGTATAGGGTTTCTGAGGAGCGGCTGGTGAACTTGAAAAGCAGACCTTGTGGTTCAAACTGACTTTGCACTCCAGTACATTAACCCACAGCACCACACCAGGACTCCATCAAGGTATGTTCCTATTGTTTTTGTTGTTAGGTACCATCAAGTCAGTACTGACTCATAGCGATCCTATGCACAATAGAATGAAACACTGCCCCATCCTGGGCCAACCTCACAATTATTGCCATGCTTGAACCCACTGATGCTGCCACTTTTCCAGTCCATCTTGCTGGGAGTCTTCCTCTTTTTCTCTGACCCTCCTTCCACCTTACCAAACATGATATCCTTCCCTAGCAACTGGTCCCTCCTGACAATATGTCCCAAATATGAGAGATGAAGTTTGGCCATTCTGGCCTCCAAGGAGCACTCTGGCTGTGCTTCTTCCAACACAGATCTGTTGGTTCTTTTGGCAGCTCATGGCACTTTCAATATTCTCCTCCAACACCATAAATTAAATGCATCAATTCTTCACGGTCTTCTTTATTCACTGTCCAGTTTTCATACGCATATGAGGTTTTTGAAAATACCATGGCTTGGGTCAGGCACACCTTAGTCCTCAAGCTGACATCTTTGCTCTTCAAGACTTTAAAAAGGTCTTGTGCAGCAGATTTGCCTAATGAATAATACATCATTTGATTTCTTGAGTGCTGCTTCCATGAGTGTTGATAGTTGACCCAAGAAGAATGAAGTCCTTGACAACTTCAATCTTTTCTCCGTTGATAAGAATGTTGCTTATTGGTTCAGTGGTGAGGATTTTTGTTTCCTTTACATTGAGATGTAATCCATACTGAAGGCTGAGCTCTTTGATCTTCATCAGTAACTATTTTAAGTCCTCTTCACTTTCAGCAAGCAAGGCTGTATCATCTGCATATTGCAGGTTGTTACTGAGTCTTCCGCCAATCCTGATGCCATGTAGTAGACTAAAAAGTGCCTTCTGGATTTGCAAGTCCTTTTTTTCTTGTTAATACCTGTTGTTAGTTGTGGTCGAGTGGATTCCAACCCATGACAGCCCCATGTGGGCTGTGAACTTTTGGAAGCAGATCTGCAGGCCTGTCTTCTGAGGTGCTTCCAGGTGGCTTGTGCTGCCCACCTTTTGGTTTGTGGTCAAGTACTTAACTGTTGGTGCTACCCAGTCATCTATCTCATTAGTAAGCACACTAGAAGTATCCTTCCCACCCCCTTTTGAAAGCTAACATTATGTCACTTCACTTTATTAAAGACCTATATTAATATCTGTTTTCGTCAACGGAAAGAAATTCAAAGAGGATTTCTGGTTTTATAAAAAGGGCAAAAGCGAAGCTAGGCACCTTGTACCCACAGTGAGGGCAGCATCCTCAATCTACAATGTTTTTGTATTATTTTGACTTTGTGTAGACCGTGTATTAATCATAGGAGTTCCTTCTTGACAATACATTAATGATATTGGATAGGTTATTTCTTGGATCTGGGGATGCTCAACAGTTTTCCCCCCTACATAAATTAATGGTAACTGCTTCTTGACTTTGCATCACTTTGGTTTATGAAATCTTTCATAGAATGCTACACCTTTAGATAATGGGGATACCTGTAGTTAAAATAATGGTAGTAAGGGGCCCAATAATATTTTGTAGGTGTTACATGTGGTCCTCAGAGCTTTGGTGTGGCGCTGTGGGATAAAGCACTAGACTGCAAGGTCAGTTTGAACCAGAAGGTCAAAAGTTTAAATTCACCAGCCATTTCTTGGAAACCCTAGTCAGGGTCACTATGAGTTGGAACCAACTTGAGAGCACGTAACAACAACAACATGTGATCCTCAGGTTCGAATCCTAAAGTCGACAACTGCTGCTTGAGGCATAGATTTCCCAAACATAGACTATTCGGCTGAGAAGCAGGGATGCAGAAGGTAACTGAGAATCAAGAAGCAAGTTTCAGCTTCCCATTGTGATCCTACGTCTCTGACTCTCTGCCTAGGTGACCAGTCAGAAGCTCCAGACTTCAACTGCCCATCCATCACCAACATCATCACCTTAAGCCAATTCTTTCCATCCAGAAGACCTGATTAACAGCAGGCACTGCCTAGAAAGGGCAGTTGGGCTCGTTGTTTATGCCACATCGCAACACTTTATTCTCCTAGTAATGCCAAGGCATCACTAAACAGCATCCCCAGAGGCCATCCTGGGATTTTCCATTCATTTCTTGGGCACAGAAAGGGAGTATTTGTGTGTGTCTGGGTATTTCCTTTAAAGGAGAAATTCTCTGTTGGTTGTACGGATGTGGGAAGTCTGGGTTGCTGTTCTGGCCAGGCCTACCCTTACAGATCTCCCGGCAATGACATTGGAAGCACATTCAGGTGAAAGAAGAGGCTATTAGCAGACTTTGCTAAACTATTAGCAGCTCACACACATCGAATTTAACTAAAAGACTTTGCTTCCTCCATTAGCACAAACAAGAGCATCCCCCTCCACTTTCCCCATCCTCCTGTTTTTCTACATCACCGTACGAGCTGATACCTTTTCTTGTTTAACATTTAAATTACTTTTTAATCATAAATACAACAAACACAAAATATATAGCACAGTTTATAGGATAAAAAAATATGAAACATGCAAACACTTTCCCTCATCTTCAATGACTATGTAGATAACCTTTCAAAAAGTATTAATGCTTATAGGGCAGAATACCAGGGGGGCTTCAAAAAGAAGTTCAGGGAAGAATGGAATTTTCCCACAAGCTCTTTGAAACCCCTTGTATGTGCTAGTGTATACATATGTGTTTGTGTACATATGTGTGTATGTGTTACACGTATGAGGGGGCTTCAAAGAGTTTGAACATTCCTCTTTCTCTTGGATTAGTGTGACAGTTCTATAGTTAACAACATCTGCTTTTCTCCTCCAAACTGTTCTTGATGTCTATGAGCCCTGAGGCTGGTCTTCACCCTCCCCACTCACAAGCCCCTTCACCTCCAAACACAAAGCACGTGGCCCACACCCAGATTACCTCTCCAGCCTCTGCATGGTCATGGCCAGTGTCTTGTTCAGCTCATCTATCATCCTGCAGCTGGAGGGGTGCAGGGGCAGGGAGCCGGTGGAGGAGGGCAGATGCTGGCTGTGGCTGCCGTACTGCAGCTGGTGCTGGATCTGGGATGGCAGGACCGTGTGGTGGTGCTGGGCCATGCTCTGCTGGCTACTCTTCTGGGCGGCGTAGGATGCCAGCGAGAGCTCTGGGCCTCCCACAGGCATACAGATCATGACTTTCTTTGGAGGTAGCGGAGGTGACAGTTTCACTGGCAGACAAGGCAATTTCATGGGGGCGCCAGGATCTGCGGCAGAAGGAGGGTGAGATGCAGATGTGAATTGGGGGCTTCAACAGGAATGCAGCATACCCCACAGACCCACTGTCAGACGGCCCACTAAAGCAAACCCCTTTGATAAAATGCACCAATGGAAGACCCCAGGATAGTGAGTGCTACTTAACAAACTCATCCCCTGATCAAAGCGTGCTGGCTGTAGGGGCCCCCATAGACACACCCCTGAGCAGAGCCTGTCTCACTGAGTTGCCAGACTGAGGTTCAAACCAGCACAGGTGGTGAGACAGTAGGAAGGGGGAATGCAAGGAACTCACATGAACCTGGAAGAGGATTTCTTCTAAACTATCCCATTGTGTATGAAGAATTTGGTCTTGCCAAAGAAACATCTGGTCTTTATCCCTAGTCCTGGGAGTTAACCTCTAAACCCCTTGGAATTCCACTGATTGGAATATCTTTGTTATTCATGGTGAACCACAGCTGATAGTGCATGCTAGTGAGGAAGCACATGGCTCTCTGGGCCATGTGATATCAGTCCAATATTGGAGGGAGGTATTGAATATTGAGTTTAATCACATGGACAATCAATCATGCGGGTATAATGAAGCCTCAATAAAAACGAAACACTGAAGCTTGAATAAGCTTCTCTGGTTGGCAATACCCCATGCATGGTGTCACCTACCAAGGCTGGAGAGTAACACATCCTAAAAACAATGGAATCTTTGCATTTAGGGTCCTCTCAGACTATGCTCTATGCAGCCCTTCCTTAGGCTGATTTTAGTCTGTATGTTTCCTTGTAATAAACCATACTCATGAGTTTAACAGTTTCCACTGAGTTTTGTGAGACCTTCTAGAAAATGATTGAATCTGAACTTTTTTTTTTTAATGTTTATTGTGAATTATGTGATAGTTTACATGGGAGAATATTAGCTTTACATTCATCCTATTGTATATCGTTTCACTGCCATAGTTACAATCCCTTCCATGCATCCTCAACCAACCAAAGGGTATACCCTGGTTGTCAGCACACAGCCCCTCTCCCTCTCTGGGTCCAGAGTCCCCAGCCACTCCATCTCTCCACATCATCGTCTTTGCCTCCATCTCTGGCGTCATTGTTTCTCTGGGTAGGATCCTGCACTCCGCTCTTTTCCCTTGATGGTCCCAGGGACCTCTGCTCCTGGACTGCAAAGTTAACCTTTTGCTACAAAATGTCTACCTTTACATTTCCAACCCCTAAATATGGTTTTGGGGACACTTGTGCATACATGAGGGTGGCCGTGTATGGACTCATCCTTCTAGTTTTCTAGTTGGAGCCTTGTGGTTGGTGTCCAAAGTCTTGGGCAAACTTGGGTGTCTGGAGGACTATGCCCTCAAATCTTGAAGTGTGGCTAATTCCAGGTACTCGTGATGTCTATGGAGTGCTGGTGTGGCACTGTGGGTTAATGTACTAGACTGCAAAGTCATTTGAACTGCAAGGTTGGTGGTTCAATTTCACCAGCTGCTCCTTGGAAACCCTACACAGGGTCACTATGGGTCAGAATTGACTCAATGGCACTTAACAACAACAACATGATGTCTAAAATATTGCAACTGTAATGTGAAAACATTCTACTAGCTGGAACATTCTAAGAGGTATGGAGTTAAGTTTGAGCCCACTAACAACATCAGAAAATGACTTGAATGCTCCCAACCTTACCGCCTTCATCTGTAACATGGTGGATGATCACGTCAGCTCAGGAGGCTGGCTTTGGTGAAGATTAGTTAGAGTAGAGAGGGAGCACATGGTCTGTGTGCCTGGCACAGGTGTTGTAAAAGGCTTTGTGCACTGCCAAGCACTATGTGGAGGCAAGGTTAACATGACTGTAGAGCTGGGTGACCTTCCCTACAGCATCCCAGGTGGACTCCAACAGGGCGCTCTGGGGGCCTGATGGCGCCTTCCCAGAATCAACCCATTGGTCCCATGACAGTGCTGCTGAAGCTCAATGTGCTCCAGTCCGGTCAGCTCTCAACTCAATAGCAACTGGCTATGCTGCTACTGGGTTGATTCCAACTCACAATGATCCCATAGAACAGACCTTTCTAATGTCCCATAAGGTCTCAGGCTATAATCTACATGGAATAAGACTTCAACATCTTTCTCCCGTGGAGTGGCTGGTAGATTCAATCCACTATGGCACCCGGGCTCTTCATCTACAACCCCACATTCCTGGACATCATGTAATCATGGAGGAGCAGGGGCAGGCATGCTTGAGCCCTGTGGCTTGTCGCTCTGCCTTGAATGTGGCCTTCCTCCAATTTAACTTCCACCCACCCACAGCCACCCTATAGGACAGAGTAGGGTTTCTGGGACTGTAAAACTTTATGAAAGCAGACAGCCTAATCTTCCTTTCTCAAAGTACCTTGTGGATTTGAACCACTGACCTTTTGGTTAGCAGTCCAATATTTATCCTATAGCACCACTAGGGTTCCTTTTAATTTCCCCAGTCCTATCAAATTGACACTTTTCATGCATTCAATGTCATCATGAATGCATTCAATCTCAGTGTGAAACCCATCATTGACGCCTCATCTAAAAGATCAAATACAACATCTCTCCCTACATCATTCAAGGCCTTTATAAACTGTCTGCTGCTTAGTTTAGATTCTCCAAGAGGTTTGCTCTGGTGGCCCTGGAAGAACTGACCCAAATATCTCCAATGCTAACATACCACTTTCCTCCTGTGGATTTTATTTACACTGTGCCATAAGAACCAGAGTCTGATGTTGTTAGTGATCAGCCATCCCTTACACGTTCCACAAGAACTGTTCCAATTGGCAGTGGCCTCTTCAGCTTCCTTCCCAACTGCAGATCAAGGTGATTTGCTGTTGAGGTGATTCCGACTCATAGTGACTCCTGTGTGTTACAGCAGAGCCGTGTCTCCTTGGGTTTTCAATAGCTGATTTTTCAGAAGTAGACCACCAGGTGCATTCCTCTGGGTGGACTTGAACTGCCAACCATTTGGTTAGTAACTCCAAACTGCCTGATATTCACGGGGCCTTCATATGCCTCTTTCCCTCTGTTTGGAATAGTCTTCTCTGTTTTGGTCAATCCCTACTCTCCCTTCAAATCCTGCTAGGAAAATGACCTTTCCCGAGGTTCCTCTTTCCATTTCACCCACTGCCCACCTACTGGGGCCTGTGGTGGCCATTACGTCTAGGTTAACGATGCTATAAAATGTCACCAATGGACGACTCGCACTTAAGGAACACAGAGTTTCCGTTAAAGGCAATGGAATAACTGGGGAATGGGTAAATTGAACAACGTGATGAAGCTAATTAAAGTCACTGAACTGTGAAGATGATTCGAATGGCAAATGTTTTGTTACTACTGTTTAAATAAAAGTATTAACAATGGCAGTAAAGGTAATAACAAATGATGATAGCAATAATTATCACCAACTCTAACACATTGCTCTAAGTGCTATGAACTTTTTTTTATAAATACTAACAAATGTAAACCTCACAAGTCTAAGATGGACACCATCTTTTTATCAATTTCACAGACGATGAATGGCCTCTGGAGACACAGCCATGTTGACATCATCATCTTCTCTCTTGTAGAGCGGGCACCAAGTGTGACATCTTGTACAGTGCCCAGCTTGTGCACAGCAAAAGGCCACAACACTGAGACAGGAGTAATCTTCTGCTTGATGAGGCCACACTTTCCCCAGAAACTGACGCTCCTGGTCCTATCACTGAGATACAGAAAAATTAAGGAATTCCAGGGCACCTGACAAGATGGCTCTCCTAACACTAAAACACAAGCCAGCCACAACCACTGGTTCTCTTGGGCTCATCCTTTATTATAATCCCCCATGCACACAACACAAGGTAAGCAAGCTCAGAAACAGCCCGAGTGATGTTAGCTCATTCCAAAGGGGCTGAGATGTGAAAACTCTAACTGCCCATCCCTCGTTACTGAGGGGATCTGTTCTCATGGCTGTGAGAAACTTCAGCACCAGCCTAAACCAGCTGCCAAGTTGCTGCTGGCTCACATTGACCCCATGTGTGTCAGAGTACAACTGTGCTCCATAGCATTCTTTTTTTTTTT